CTGAATTCAAGATTTTTGCCGATTTCAAGATTTTAGCTTTCCAAAATACTGAATTAGAGATTTTAGCTTTCCAAAATTCTGAAATCAAGATTTTCGCCGATTTTAAGATTTTAGCATTCCAAAATCACGAATTCAAGATTTTGGCCGATCTCAAGATTTTAGCTTTCCAAAATCCCGAATTTAAGATTTTGGCAAATTTCAAGAATTTAGCTTTCCAAAATCGTGAATTCGAGAATTTTGGCTGATTTTAAGATTTTAGCTTTCCAAAATCCTAAATTCAAGATTTTGGCCGATTTCAAGATTTTAGCTTTCCAAAATCCTAAATTCGAGATTTTGGCCGATTTCAAGATTTTAGCTTTCCAAAATCCTGAATTCGAGATTTTGGCCGATTGCAAGATTTTAGCTTTCCAAAATCCTAAATTCAAGATTTTGGCCGATTTCTAGATTTTAGCTTCCAAAATCCTGAATTGGAGATTTTGGCCGACTTCAAGATTTTAGCTTTGGAAAATCCTGAACTCAAGATTTTGGCCGATTTCAAGATTTTAGCTTACCAAAATTCTGCATTCAAGATTTTGGCAAATTTCAAGATTTTAGCTTTCCAAAATCCTGAATTCAAGATTTTGGACGACTTCAAGATTTTAGTTTTCCAAAATACTGAATTAGAGATTTTAGCTTTCCAAAATCCTGAAATCAAGATTTTCGCCGATTTTAAGATTTTAGCTTTCCAAAATCACGAATTCAAGATTTTGGCCGATCTCAAGATTTTAGCTTTCAAAAATCCCGAATTCAAGATTTTGGCAAATTTCAAGAATTTAGCTTTCAAAATCGTGAATTCGAGATTTTGGCCGATTTTAAGATTTTAGCTTTCCAAAATCCTAAATTCAAGATTTTGGCCGATTTCAAGATTTTAGCTTTCCAAAATCCTAAATTCGAGATTTTGGCCGATTTCAAGATTTTAGCTTTCCAAAATCCTGAATTCGAGATTTTGGTCGATTACAAGATTTTAGCTTTCCAAAATCCTAAATTCAAGATTTTTGGCCGATTTCTAGATTTTAGCTTTCCAAAATCCTGAATTGGAGATATTGGCCGATTTCAAGATTTTAGCTTTAAAAAATCCTGAATTCAAGATTTTGGCCGATTTCAAGATTTTAGCTTACCAAAATTCTGCATTCAAGATTTTGGCAAATTTCAAGATTTTAGTTTTCCAAAATCCTGAATTCAAGATTTTGGACGACTTGAAGATTTTAGTTTTCCAAAATCCTGAATTCAACATTTTGACCGATTTCAAGATTTTAGCTTTCCAAAATCCTGAATTTAAGATTTTGGACGATTTCAAGATTTCAGCTTTCCAAAATACTGAATTCAAGATTTTAGCTTTCCAAAATGCTAAATTCAAGATTTTGGACGATTTTAAGATTTTAGCTTTCCAAAATCACGAATTCATGATTTTGGCCGATCTCAAGATTCTAGCTTTCCAAAATCGTGAATTCAAGATTTTGGCTGATTTCAAGATTTTAGCTTTCCAAAATCGTGAATTCGAGATTTTGGCAGATTTTAAGATTTTAGCTTTCCAAAATCCTAAATTCAAGATTTTGGTCGATCTCAAGATTTTAGCTTTCCAAAATTCTGAATTTGACATTTTGGCCGATTGCAAGATTTTAGCTTTCCAAAATCCTGAAGTCGAGATTTTGGCCGATTTCGAGATTTTAGCTTTCCAAAATCCTGAATTCAAGATTTTTGCCGATTTCAAGATTTTAGCTTACCAAAATCCTGAATTCAAGATTTTGGCCAATTTCAAGATTTTAGCTTTCCAAAATCCTGAATTCAAGATTTTGGCGTATTTCAAGATTTTAGCTTTCCAAATTCCTGAATGCGAGAGTTTGGACGATTTTACGATTTTAGCTTTCCAAAATCCTGAATTCAAGATTTTGGCTGATTTCAAGATTTTAGCTTTCCAAAAACCTGAATTCAAGATTTTCACAGATTTCAAGATTTTAGCTTTCCAAAATTCTAAATTCAAGATTTTGGCCGATTTCAAGGTTTTAGCTTTCCAAAATCCTGAATTCAAGATTTTGGCCGCTTTAAAGATTTTAGCTTTCCAAAATCCTGAGTGCAAGATTTTGGCCGTTTTCAACATTTTAGCTTTCCAGAATCCTGAATTCAAGATTTTGGCCGCTTTAAAGATTTTAGCTTTCCAAAATCCTGAATTCAAGATTTTGGCCGTTTTCAAGATTTTAGCTTTCCAAAATCCTGAATTGAAGATTTTGGCTGATTTCAAGATTTTAGCTTTCCAAAAACCTGAATTCAAGATTTTGGCAGATTTCAAGATTTTAGCTTTCCAAAATCCTCAATTCAAGATTGTGGCTGATTTCAAGATTTTAGCTTTCCAAAATCCTGAATTCAAGATTTTGGCTGATTTCAAGATTTTAGCTTTCCAAAAACCTGAATTCAAGATTTTGGCAGATTTCAAGATTTTAGCTTTGCAAAATCCTAAATTCAAGATTTTGGCCGATTTCAAGATTTTAACTTTCCAAAATCCCGAATTCAAGATCTTGGCCTATTTCAAGATTTTAGCTTTCCAAAATCCTGAATTCAAGATTTTGGCCGATTTCAAGATTTTAGCTTTCCAAAGTCCTGAATTCAAGATTTTGGC